TATATATGTGTGTGTGTGTGTGTGTGTGTATGTATGTATATTTATTTGTGTATACACGTGTGTCGATGTATGTATATCTGTATCCATGTATCCAAGTATATATGCATGTATTTATGTATGTGTGTATTTTTTTGTGTATATATGTGAGTATGTGTGTGTATGTATGTATCTATGTATGTACGTCGGTATGTATATATGTATGTATAGAGGTATATTTATGAGAGAGTGTTTGCCCTACATACTTGCAAGTCTATACACGATTTAGTCATGTTGAGAGCCCTTAATTCAAATGAATCGGGTGGATTGTGCAATAAAGCTGTAAAGTGTAAATGGGTTTATTCGTTTACAGAGGAAACAGAGACGGCTTTGTAAGGCCATGGCCTATCGGAGAGCTCGGTTACAAACCAGGGATTTCCATAGAATACGGGTATGCATACTAGATTATTACCGCCATCACGAAAGTACTCGCTGCGAGCACAATGATGGAGACCTGGCCACGCGTCGCTGTATTCGGTGCACTGTAAGTACTCGCTGCGAGCACAATGATGGAGACCTGGCCACGCGTCGCTGTATTCGGTGCACTGTAAGTACTCGCTGCGAGCACAATGATGGAGACCTGGCCACGCGTCGCTGTATTCGGTGCACTGTAGTCAACGTTTTGCGCATTCTGTGAGGCAGCAATAGAATCATACCCTGAGTTGTCCTCGGTATATTCTGCCTCGTATTGCATGTTCCCGTTTTTTCTGCGACACTGTGGAGTATTGATGGTCTGTGCTATCGGGTTATCACCCTTGATCATATCGGTGACCGTGTGATTGGCAAGAAACCGTTATTAGCAATTACATACCAGCCCGGCCACTTCTAGTGACGAGATGACGTGACCCCTGACCTTTGCCATATAGCTCTCGGCTGCGTCCCAAATGCCACCTCAGCTGTCTTCCACTACATCGCAAGTGTTTTTGGCAAATTTCACTTTGACACCGGTTGTTTCTTGTTGGTGTGTGAAAAGAGGTGATTTATGAGAATTTTGACGAACTTTTCATTGAAGTTTCTATAGCAAGTGCGTTGCAGCCTGGGGTGAAATTTTTGACGTACGAGCAGATCTTAAAAATGAAATTATTTCATCATCGGCCCATGACATACTTGAATAACACAAAATTACACCTACGTTATACTCGATATACTCCTGCCAATCAGCATCGCAAGCGAGACAAGTTAGACCAGCTTTGTGTCGAAGCGCTCCGTGAAGGTATCTTCGAGCAAGGATTTCATGATTGGCACCAGGTCCTCAACGATATCCAAAGCAATCTTGTATGCATCCTTTTCAGGGTCATCAGGCATTTAGTTATATGCTGCTTTCACCTGCTCGAGTCCTTCATCTAGGTTTGACAACAACTCAACGGAAACACCATCAAGTGCGAACGTCAGATTGCGCATGTCGCCAATAGTGTCGATCATCCATTCTCTAGTTACTGCGAATTCTTCTTGCAAATCAGCCATGACAAGCTCCGAGCAGCCGGAAGATTATAAATTGCCACATCTGAACTTGCGCTCCTCTACAGCCAGAACAACTGGTTGGGGATTCGTAACCACGGCCTCTGCTGCAACCGAATTGATGCGGAATCCAGGAACACCGATAAATGCGCTGAAGAGAGGGTTACAGGTATCATTGTTCGCTTTCGCATACACAGCTAATGTGGTGACCATGAGAGAGAAAGCAAACTTCATGATTTGTGTTTTTGTCTACAATGTAAAGCTACAGTTTCCCTGCAATAGAGCGACTCTATTTATATACACAAAATTTCACGGTGTTTTGAACTTGTAAACATTTCTTTGACGGGTGTAAATTATGAGCTTATACTATTTAGCACATATAGTGTATGTAGTCGTAAATATGAAGCCTATATTCAACACGCCAAGCAACCATTGCCAGTTACTTTTACCACAAGAGATGATACTGATGCCATCAGACATACAGACTATTACTCCAGGACTCTCTAGTCGAGTAAATAGTCTCCACTCTTCCGGACTTTGGCGGATAGCAGACAGCCGGACACTGTCAGACCTGAGACAATCTGTACTCTGTCACGCACTCACGCTGCTAAATATTGTTTATTTTATTTTAGAAAACAATATAACAAATAATATATAGTTGTCTGCGTGAACTGTGAACTAAAATATTTATACTATTTTAATTTTTAAAAATGCAATAGTGTATAAAATGTCAGACTGTCAGTGTGATTGTGTCACTGATGACTGATACCAATTCAGTTTGTTCTTTTTTCTTTTTTTGGGGGTGGGGGCCGGGCCCGGCGGGCATGCCTCATAACGTACAAGGTATGTAGCTGAAAACTTACTACGTTTTACGTTAACGCACACAAATATAAAAGTTTTTACGCCTAAAGTTTTTACGCCTACCGTATTCATTTTGGTGTTTTTAAAATGAAACCTGCAAAAAAACAGAAATTCAGGAACTGTTCTAAATAGATCAACAAATGACAAATAAACTTTGGTCTGGATCCAAAACTGCCAAAGTTCAATTTATATATCAGAGGTATTCACCCAAATTTTGACAAATATAGTTGGGTGGCATATGCCAATATATCGGCAGTCTTCATCGCCAAGGTCATGTAACGTACGAAAACGTATCCCGCTTACCGCTAACACAATGTTTTGAAAACGTGTTTACGCTTAACGTAATAAGCCCTGCCGGTACTTTAATTTTTTGTTATAATAAAATACAGTTACAGACTTACGGACTACAGTACTGAGTACAGTATTTACAATAAATACACAAAATGACATGGAACATACAGACAGAACGGTTTAGTTTTGTTTTTTAAATATTTTTTTTGATGTGGTCATCGGTGCTGGGCCTGCTGGCAACCTATAGTCAGCCAGGCACTGGAGGTTCGATAATAAAAAGAACAAAAAGTTGTTTTTTTTTAAAACAACTTTAATTTTCTACATGCCTTTTGTTTGGTTTTTGAAAACAAATGAGCAAAAAACTGGTTTTGCCCAGGAACCTGAATCTGAGAATCTCAAACTTCAAATGTGGTTTAAAAAAAGTATATCATACAAAGCAGAACATATAAATACGACAGAAATGAACGAAAGAGTTGTACCATTATATTTACCAGAGTTATTAATTTTTAGTTTTAAAACCATTCTATTTACCAGAGTTATCAAGATTCTTGCAACATTTGCACTGCTAGTGCATACGAAGATATCATTTTATGTTATATAGTTATAGCAGGGAGGATTTCTTGGTATAAACTAACGTCTAAACCAAAAACTAATGATAAAATACGAAAACAATACCTAGGGTTCTCGAGCCTTGAGCAACAAACCACTTTGCAGGCTTCTGCTACAGGTGACTACAGTGTGATGGAACTTTATCAAGAGACAAAATGACAAATAGTCGGGCGGCCGGGGTACGTAATAAGAGCTCAAAATTATTCGTGGACACCCTTGATATAATTGCTTCGATACAAGATAGAGCTCTAAACTATTCGTGGACACCATTGATATAATTGCTTCGATACAAGATAGAGCTCTAAACTGTTCGTGGACACCATTGATATAATTGCTTGGATACAAGATAGAGCTCAAAACTATTCGTGGAAACTATTGATATAATTGCTTCGATACAAGATAACACTAAGCTAGAGGCACGGAGGCGTTTACTGTGACTGTATTGCTTTCAATATTGTTTTAGTTTCTATGATAGGTTATGAACCCTTTTCGAGTTTGGAGTGAATTAATCGGCCGTGGACACTGTCGCTTAACATCGTCCATAGCAGTCGTATTGAGTGTATTGGTAGAAGACATGTCCAAATTCCAGCTGATGAGACCGGATTGCGAACTAGAATTTGGAATCGGTTTAGACTCTGCCCTGAGTAATCCGACGCGCGACCTAGGGTGTAAACAGTATTCAATAAATATATGACACAACGACGAACGCGAATTGTCTTTTAGAGTGCACGTTGAGAGGCAAGGTATTGATCTAGGTAGAGTCTAGGGTAGGACATTTGATACATGCTCATTGAGTACACGCTGGCTAGTAGAATGTATGCATAGAAGAAATGACGACATTGTTAGCAACGAGGCTGATACGTAAAGATAAGCGACGTTCAGCGCTCTCGGTCACTGATATTGCTGCATTGTCACATAAAGTAGATCAAGATACATACATGTAAATGTCAAATAGGTAATAGTCAGACAAATGGATGGCAGGCCGGTCGTGAAATTGTACTTATATATACACTCATACAAACGCGTATGCAGTACTACACACCTATATGGATACAAAAATCAACTAACGTCTACTGGTACCAGTTGAAGATGCATTTCATATATTTTATACCTGTGCGCATGGCGCTGATCGCGAAGCAAGGACCGTCTGTATTCAGTTTCTTTAGGAATTCGTAAGTTGACATTCGAATGTAGAGTAGGAACACCTAAATGGATTAAAGTGATATCTTCAGAGACATACAGTGAACAAAGATTTTCAAGTGCACAGCGTTTATTCACGATACACGCATGTTGTCGCTCTCGACAAGATCAAGTACATACTTTATTTTTACTATAAATACAATACTCACAGGCGGGGACGTGACCAATGTATGTAACAATATACTATTTCATTAAGTTTGTGATATCGTCGTACAGCTCTATTATATGAACATAACAAACACATTCACTACTTCCAACTAAATACACATTCTCATCTGATTCCGATATGTATTAGACCGAGCAACCCGATAAAACGAGGAAACGGAGATGGTGATGGAATAGACTTAACTTTTACGATTTCAACTACCGTATGGATTCCATTTGAGTGCATTTACATAAAAATCGAGTACTATCAATGTTCAAATACAATATTACGCACGCATTTATAT